GAATGATCGCTTTGATGTGGCCTCGACCTCACACCTTTTTCTTCCGACTTCCGCACAGAGCCTCTCCTTCGTACAACTCCTCGAGGTAACCTGTCGGCCAACAGATCCCTGATCTGCAGGCTTGAAATTCAACCGACGCGCTTCGCTGGGAGCGTCTTTCATATCACTAGTTGTCTTTGAACCAGTGTTGGACAAAATACTCGATAAAAGTATTTAAGTTAAGTTACTAAATACCTGCTTCATAAAATAATTGAAATACTAGTCAAGTTACTGTCCCTGTAAAGTACCTTGAGTAGAGTACAAATACTTAGAAATGTAATTCAATTACTTTTGAAGATACTTCCGCGTTACGTAATTTAAATCGACGTCAGTGACAAACACAATTATACGGTTGCGCAAATCTGGTTTACCAGAATAATTTATTTGCGCGAACCAACAGAAAACATAGAAAAAAAAAAACAACATCGTAAGGCTATTTAGTGCAGTTCAACTATAAGGAGCAAAATATTTTCACGAATGACAAATGATCGGGCGGCGAATAACTGAAGAAACTAAGCGTCTAATGGGGCGAACTTGTGCCCAAAACAAAATAGAAGTAAGTTAGCGCCGCAGGCGTCGATGTCGGCGAAACAGCAGGATTTATACAGCCTTAATGATGGTACGCCTCAACAGGTGACCGGTCGCTTAGCTGCAGATGAGAAATTTAGCCAGTGCAGTACAACCGCTAACCTGGGGGTTTTAACGTGCATCACGCAGTAGTGATTACACGAACGCGTGCCGGTGCGAAACTCATCCAGATCGGAAGGGGCGGGGGGCGGTGGGGATCGAACCAAGGAGGTTCCCAGCGCAAGCTTTCGCTACCGCCACGCGGAGCACCTTTTGAACCCGCGTGGGTTTCTCGAACATTCGGCGTAGAACGTCCCTGGCGTAGAATATTCGTAACTCGATCACACCGCAAGGTTCTCGAACTTACGAGAATGTCAAGTTGAAAGAAGAAATACAAGAAGAGTCTGCTCCCTGGAATCGAACTCGGAGGCTCCGCGCGAAAGCCAAACGCGGTAGCCATTGGGGCCTCGCGCTCGCTCGGCGACGCGCGTGGCAATATCACTGATACATGTTACAAAACATTTCTGGGACAGAAATAAAGAGGTCGCTTTAGCTATACTGACATCGCTGAATATCACGTCCTGCGGCGCACCTTAGACGCATCGTTTAACTACAATCCATGTTCCCTATATGGGGAGTTCACTATAAACGAACTTGGGATACGGATATGAGTGAATGGATAACAAAGAGAACCCACATAAAAGCCATCGGCAGTGGTCGCACCTTCAAGTTGGTTGCGTTCTGAAAGGCACTCAGCGTTGGGGGGGAGGGGGGGGGGGGAGGCGCTTTGTTAGGATTTTGAGAGGTCATTCAACTTTTAGTTTGTTTTCTGTCCTATTCTCCGCTTATCAATGTTCGCTTACAGACATTGTTCGCGAATGCAATAAGTGACGGACTGACGACAAAAATAAAATAAACAGAAGGAAGCCTAGACGTTTTGCCGTAGGGGGGTCAAATATACAGGCAAACAAAAATGTCTTTTTTTTCCTGTCCACTTCTCTTTTTTTTTTTAGTTATTTTCTTGACAGTTAAGTCTGTATTGTTGTCGTAGGTGGTTTCCCGGTCTGCGTCGCGGCTCAGTGTGGCATCCAATCCTAACTTCCGTAAAACCAACCCTTTTGTTTGAGGATTTTTGGGGAACAACTTTGTAAATAAAAAGTGCCTTTGGGAAGGCGAAGGGAAAAAATTCATTGCACGAACTTCGGGGGGAAATATGAGTCACAATAATCAAAAAAGCGATCTTTTCACTAGCTCCATCTAAGTCACTGTAGCTTATCGGAGCTAGCAAAAGGATTCGGTTGCTCGAAAGAATGTTCACGTTTGCTCGTGCCACGCCCACGCCACTTCACACCGAAAAACTCGGAAAATGGCGGAATGTAAAAAATGTATTTGAGATAATGGGTACAAGATACTCAGAAATGTATTTAAAATAGAGTATCAAATACTCTCGATCAAAAGTATTTGCAAGATACCAAGATACTTAAAAAAGTATTTAAGATACAGTATCTTGAGTAGAGTATTTGAGTTAGGCACAAGTCTGCTTTGAACGCAATTCCCCCGATTTCCTCGAGTCAAGGAAAGGCACGCGCGGTGCGCGACGTCGATGCGCTACGGCGAATGCTGAATCGGTGCTTTCTTCATTATCATCAGTAACCGGCTGCATTTTAGAGCGGCCAATATCTTCATTCATCGAAGAAGTTCCAGGCAGTGGCAATATGGTTAGCCCGATAACATCATGTCGTGACCTCCCCATCAGATGGGTCATCCCGCCGAAAATAAAAGCCCAGAACAACTGAAAATTTCGGGAAGCATGAATGCCTTTATGTGCACGCGTTGTCCTGTATATCTAGTTGTCTTACGCCAGCACTGCATCTAGGTGACGTTTGATCTGATAGCTACTAGTTCGCGAATAAGTAGGATGTACCGTTCACCTGATCGCCTCAAGGCTTTTGCATGAACCGTTCAACCAGTTTAACGCTTGTTTCATAAGTTACGACAAATAACTAGTATTACAGGTAGTACCGTCAGTAGCGCTGCACAGAAGGAAGGAGTATATTTACGGCATAGGAGGAATAGGCATCGTTTTCAGTAAAATGTGGAGCACATTTCGCTGTTTTGTTTAGAAAAATGCACGAAAACTTAGTTTGAACAATGGAATTTGATCTCCGTCCGTGAAATTGAAAGCTTTCGAACTTAAAATCTAAACTTCCGACCTTTGCGCACTTGTGCCTCGAAAAAATGAGAAATGTTAGATTTTTTCGAGCTTGATGAATCTTAAATAAATTCGAAATGTTTGAATTTTTCGAAACGATCTTTCAACAAATTCGAAATCTTTGAACCGGAACTTTTAGAAACCTTGACATACCTCAACGGGGTTCTAGAGTTGCGAACTTTCTAAATTCGAATTTTAACGAGGTTCGAAATTTTCGAACATTTCGAACTCGAGCATCGGAAGGTTCGCGGCATCCCTCATTAGAACGCCAGCGTCCGGGGTTTGGCTTTCGAACGCGTTGGGTGAGTGCCGTTGAGACAAATGCAGCTATCGTTAGGTCTACCCACTACTCATTCCAACCAGAGCTGGGCGTTCTGACGTCCCTCTCGCCTCCTCTCCTCCCTCAGTTTCTTGGCTCGTAGACTAGCTGCACCTGCACCGCCTGCAGAGCACTCAGCATGGGGCTATGACAACCGAGGCCTGTTGTAACAACGCGGACCATCGTAGTGAAACGAAAGAATCACAAGGCAAATGTCGGAACCAGCCTTAATTAAGGCTTTGGTGTTCTGTAGAAACCGCTCGCCGCTTGTCTCCTGCAGAAAACGCAATCACTTCCCGCAATGCTCGGACACAACTGTGGCGGACCTTTGCGTCGCTTCGATATGCAAACGGAGCCTGCAGTTAGTTCAGTGGCCCCTTTGATATGGCCGTGTTCTAAAATTTACTCGATCTTACTCCAGGGTAAAGCGCCATTCACACATATGCAACCGAGTAAGACCGAGAGAGACCGAACCGGTTTTTAAGTCTTAGGACCTGCTCCGCTGCAGCGCATACGGTCCTGGGACGTCGCACAAGGCTTAAAAACCGGTTTGGTTTTTCTCGGTCTTACTCGGTTGCATATGTGTGAACGGCGCTTAAAGGACCAATGCAACAATATTTGTACTTTGCGCAAATACCGCTTAAAACGGATCCCTAACGTTAATGACCTATGAAACACGCGTTCGTTTTTAACCCCACGCAATAGAAGTTCCAGAAAAAAATTTAAGAAAAACGAGCAGCGTTCACCCCCTCAACTCGCAGCCAGAACAAGCGGCCACGTGATCTGGAGCCGATTATATGCCGCCAGTGTTGATCATAGCCACGCGCTGGGGTTGGCAAAGCGCAGGACACGCGCTGAGTTCCAGGCATTGTTATGGCTCGGCTGTTGTCGTCGTTGCAGCGATTGGACACGGGTCAAAACCCGAAGGCTTCTCGAGCTAGCAATTGTCACGAGCCCAAGTCGAGTGCCCACGCAATGCTCGGGTCCAATCTATGAACCGCATTCAAATATCGTCACTTGGGTGTACTGGGACCCCCGAGTTACGTCATCAAATTTTGCAAAGGAGAGATTGAATGAAAAGGATCGCTTTTGTCCTTGAAATTACACCGCAACAAAGGAGTTTCTTGGCCAATGGCGTTGCGTGTGAGTATCCTTGAGTCCCAGGTGTGCCAGTAAGCTCGTGTATAGAGAGATACATTCCAATTGAATATCGTTGCACAGCTCCTTTAAGGGTATTGTACCTTGGCGTTCCCAAACCAACCCACGTCCAGCGCTTTTCAATCGGTGTTGTCACGTGACACGACCACTCGGAGTAACTCGAATCCATTTGGGTAAGATTTAGAACAAAGCCATGTTTTAATCTGACGCAAAACAGACGGCAAAAAGGTGGGACAGAGCATCAAATTTATTAACATTACCGGGCACTTAGTGTCATTTTGTTTCAGTGTGCTTGCCATTTACCACAGTGTCATCAAATATGCTCTGAATCGTGAATGTTATAGTTTGTACATTTATCGGCATAATCTTTATCAGACAAAGAAACCTCTTGCCATTACCCTTCAATTTATATGGCTCGTACCTTTTCCCGAATAAAGGGTGCCAAAATGCAAGGGTGAAGGAAATCGCTTTGTACGTTGTTGTTTCTGTGACCTGGTCTCGGGCTTCTCTTAAGTGAGGCCTCGGACAGGCAACCGCCTATAAAGAAGATGAGAAGATTTATTTTAGCAACGTCTTTATAAAAGGCTGTTCATACATACACACGCATAATTTAAGGATGATCTATCATCTTGTTTGTATATTTGTATAAAAGAATATTTAAACAATATTTTGCACCAAGACCTAAATGCATAGATGAAAGTCACACTGTAATGGGTGATTGATGAGTGTGTCTAGGCGTTTTCCGTACACCTAGGTTTGCAGGGCTGTGTTGCTAAAGGTGTACTCCTTTACTTCATTTGTGGCGTACGTCGAAAGTTGAGATGTTACACCAGCGCGTAACCTCTGAAACAAAAAAAAAAAACGAGAGAAAGAAAATGTTTGTATGGCAACGCTTTGTTCGCACTGTTCAAAATGAGCTGTACGTATACGCTGCAGCCCAACACGTTTGCCGAGCAAGCATACCACTGGCGAAGAGATTTCTAGTGAGGTCTTTGTAAATAAAACCGTTCCAACCATCAGTAGTCACGCTATGGTCTGTAGCAGGTTAAGAATAGCGAGACAAGCGCTCTTCCCGCAGAAGCTTCCACTCTTTCCACTTTAGCAGAGCAAACACTGGAGAGGAGGTGAGTGGAAAGGATAAAACCGCCAATCATGGCGAGCAGACGTTTTGCAACTATTATCAAAAGATTCATTTTAAACCTGAACCGATTCTACAGAAAAGTAATATTTTCTGTAAGCATTATACCCTTACTTGAATATTTTGTTAGGAAACTGCGTACGCAACAGTGAACCATTACTGCCTCGTTTATGCCATTAGATACGGCAGTGCCAACCATTATTCAAATGCGCGTCGGTTAGTAGTGCAAACGTATTAGATGTGGAATACAAGGATTTCGTGTGTTTCACCGTCCTAACATAATCGGCAAAGATCATCGGCTTTGTGCTAAAATACTACCAAAGCTTGCACAGTGTGGGAGTCTGAACATTTTTTCTCTTATACCTTTGTTGGTGAGCAGAGGTTTCCACAGGAATTGAAATTAGGGAATGTGTCTAAATTTTTAAGGGGGGGGGGGGGGGCATTGAGAATAGAGGAGTCGTTGCGATATAAAGGGGTAACTTAAAAAAAAAAAAGAACATGGGGGTCTACACTTTCCCTAGGGGGTGTGTAGGGAAACCACTCTTGGCGAGACATCGGTGCTCATTCATTGCATTTGCCCTTTAAAGCAAATGTTCACGGTTTCCGGATTGTAAATCACTACGTGTAATATATGAATCCACGCCGCTCACCAATTTACTCTATATAGTGGCTTCCCAAAATAAGGAAATAAATATCTATGCAAGTGCAGGTAGCGATCGTAAATTAAATAAGTTGGCCAGGGGCTTCGAATGTCAGCCTCATTCATTTCCCAGAACGAGGTTGTGGTTTTCCGCATGATTTTCAGTGCCTGTCAAGAGAGCTCTGTATGGGACAGTCAAAGGCCCAGACGTATCCCCTATCCGACACAGTTATGACCTGCGTCCCCCTTCATCCACCGTTAACAAATCCGTCACCATGCCAAGCTTAGACTTTCCTGCAGTGTACCATCTCTATCTCTTAATATAGCAGAGGCAGGTCGCACATCCAAAAGTAACCTTGTTACTTTTTAAAGTATTTGTGCTGCAGCTGCGTTACCACGAGTACATTTTGTCTCTCTTACCTGTCGCAGGGTTCCAGGCGTTGTAATTAAAAAATATATCATATAGGCTGGGATCATAATCATGGACACAAGCGCCATTAACCAGCCCATCATCTCGCCCCACCATGGATAAGTGTATGTATTGGCATACACTATGGGCTGGTACTTGATCACAGAAAACATAAATATTGCCTGAAAGACAATTAGGTGCCACTGTTAGTCTTGAAAGTAGAGTAAGAGTTGAAGGCAGTTCTAGGAAATAATCTTTTACGAAAAAATAGTCCTATATCCAACAGCGTAAGCAGTAAGTTCCCGATATATGTTGTATCATAGGAGGAGGGAGGTGATGCGCAAAGCGCGCGACTTTCCATTGCAGAAGAGGGGTCCGGCTACAGCGTAGTCCTGCAGGCGCACTCCGCCCCTTCCTATTACACCACACCACCGCACCCTTCCAATGCCCACGATTCGGTGATACCGGTCAAGGTGCTGCCGATGCGGACATATCGCCTTGCTTTTACACCCTTTGGGCCACAAACCGGCCACCTAGGGGCAACAGTACATGAAGTAGGTTTCAGACTTCAACCATCGCTTTCCAGAAAGACAGTCGCTGTTTTGCTAGGACATATGTCCGTTCTTCAGCCACTACCTTTGGCTAGAATGCGGACCTCCTTATCCGGGCATGGACTGGAAATTCGTAACTCGTTTGCTTATATAGGTCAGTAACTGTGATTACATCCAGACTCGCAATCGTCCTATTGAAGACCTTGAGCCACAGGGGAGTTGGAACAATAGACACGTGATCAAATAATTGGGAAACCAAAAGGAATATTGGGATCTTCTTAAAACATGTCCAACACTACTAGAAAGGCATGTATGTGTTCAGCGGACAAATGACTATATGACTATATGTTATAGCACCATAATTTATAGATATATATATGTCAGGAGAGCACGGACTATGGACAATGATCTCTTTAGCTTACTAGAACGTTGCGTGATGCTTCGTATTTTACAGTCCAGCTGTTAAATGAAAAAGCTAAAGTTTAAATTTTCAGGTTTACTTGATTATATTCAGCAATAGTTTAATATGTATCTTTTCATACAAACAAGGGGTATTATTTTGGTGGCGTATACGTACCACACACATTGCAGGAATAATGATGGACCAGCTCACTCGAAACAGGATGTTAGGCCGGCGTCCAATCATTTCCTTGATGTGGTCAGATATGTTGTTACTTCCTGTAAAGAAGAAATGTTCAGCGTACTTAATTAAACGCATTGCCATATTTTAACATGAATTCATATTAAAAGCCACTCATCTTCAACTTTTCACGCTATCATAGTCGTGTTGTTGAGTCAGGAGGCGGGCTAAGGCGAACTTTTTATCGAAATTAAAGAAGATTAAGAGAAGACAACATATTGCTTGCGTGTCAGTTTCGAAGTGTGTCTTGCCAGAGTGGTCGCTATTTGAAGACAAATATCGTCCTCTTTTAGAGCGCAGCTCTTAGGCGCCCGTTTCCAGCTTGAGGTGTCATATCATGTCCCCTTTTTCTTTCATAACTCATAACAGGGTAATGTCCGTGAAATAAATATTACGACTATGCATTCTGGATGTAGTAATCACCCTGTATCGTGCTGCATGCACCACGACGCGCCTACTTTTTTGTAGTTCGTTGGTGGTGCTGGTGACGCAAGCTCGTAGACATTCTAGGCGTAGTGGTGCGCGTGGTACGGAGGCTGAGAAGTATCTTTGGATGCTGTAGGGGTAATTAACACCCCTACAGCAGCACTTCATGCGCGCGCTTCTTTGATGTAGAATTGATTGTGCCTGTGGGATCGCCATTCTTGTCCTTGCACGATATGTGGTATCTCTCTCTCTGGGATCTCTGCTATAAACCATACATACCGCTGTTTTGTTGTCCACTTCGTGGAAATCGTACTTCCGGTTTTGGCAGTAATAACGAGGAAATGTTTGTATATCGCCCAACTTTTCCTTGTTGTGATCAGAGCTTTGTAATCATGCATGTGCATATAGTCTTCAGGTTTTCTTACAGTTAGTAGCAAAGCCTTAATTTTGTTTCCCATCAAGGGTTCAGGTAATGATTTAAATGCCTCAATAGGCGTGCGTCGATATTTTTGTTTAAACCATCAAAGGTGTTTCTAAAATTTAATTTTTAATTTTTTAAGGAATTCTTTATTGACTGCAATGTGCGCAATGCAAACCCTTTGAATCTAAGATTGTATTGATTTGATGGGTTAAGCATATTTCCCAGTCACACAAGAATGTTAATAATTCAGCCATATCAAAAGGTGAACATCTCGGGAAGGAACAGCGGCAAAAAACTTAGACAACGGTAAGGAAGCACACACGACAGGACGGCGCTGACTTGCTGTTTTGCATGTTCAGGGCCGTCCTGTCTTGTTTGTTTCATTAGCCTTGTCCAAGTGTTTTGAGGCTGTTCCTTGCCAAGATGTTAACTTCAAAGCAACTAGCCCAATACGTTACATTATTGCAGTTTATATCAAAAGGTGATTCATTGCCTGATACCACTTCCTGGTTGACATCCTTTATTTAGCATTGAATCTTCTGGAGATGTTCCAAGTGATTTAATATATTTTTACTGTTTTGCATGTTGAGGAAATTTAGTTTTTTTTGAGGACCTTAGTTGCACGAGCTTAGAATTTCAGTTTGGCTATAAGCTCAATAATATGTTTGGGCTTTTGGCTTATTGAACTGAAAATCACTGTCACTCAAGTGGCGCTTTTAACGGTGCGTGTAGTTTATCGAATTTATGAAGAATGTAAATGACCGCAGTTTCACTTTGCTATTGTTGAACATCTTTTGTTGGTTGTGGAGGAAAGGCTTCGCATATTCTTCTCTCCCGCCGTCGAAGTCAGTGGAGAAGTAGCGGTTTTCGAGTTGCGGTGGACTTATATTAATTCTCACAGACTGGCTCAAAGATAATGTGCAATGATCGCCACTCCTTTCATGCTTTTGCTGGGGCGTCATCAGGTACAGAGCACAACACTTTTAGCGTGTACAAATTATTGCTAATTTTTTTTTCTCTCTTAAAGTTCCTCGGCTGACAAAAAAGACTACTGATTTGGCGAAAAGTTCTCATTGAGGGTATGTACAAACCCGGTACTTGATGGAAATTGGACACCGTTGTCTGATGCAGTAGTTGTTGCGTGCAATATGGGCATGCTAGCTTACTTGTTTGCACCAGAAATTGTCATGATTTTCTTATTGAGTTAGAAAACTGGTTAACGCAACTTAATAAATAAGATAGAAACATGAAAATATTACAGTTCAACATGTTGATTACGTGTTTAGTTCTAAGCGTAGCTTTTGCCAGAACGTCCAATGCCTGTAGAAGGTTGTCGCTTTCTAAAATGTTTATGTATCTTGAAATAGCTTTACCATACGCGAAACTATAGTAGCTTAGAAAGTTTTAGTAATATTTCACAATTTTCAAAACAGCTTATTCGCAACACTTTAGTATTTGTAAATTCTGCAGAAAAGCAGAGGTACTGTCTAAAAATAAGTAATCTGCAGTAACGTGTGTACCATGCAAGTGGTTAATAAATAAAGCAAGACTTGCCATATATCCATGTCAAGGCAACTGCTTGAAAGAACACAACGAAAAGCAATGTGATTCCAGAGACAGCATAGTTGTCCATCAGCTGTAGAAGGTACATGCCTCCCTGCGCAATAAGAATAAAATTGGACTAAACGTATACTGCGGACAACTTCTAAGAACATATTTTATAAATGCAAACATGCATACGTGCAACGGACAGGATTACACAGTTGCTCGGTTCTTTAAAGCAGCAGTACAGTTTTATACAAAGCAAAGGATCTCAAACACCCTGAACTTGAGGAAACCCCAAGCTACCATAAAAACAAACAAATAGATACCTCCCCCCACCTTCGTGCACGAACTTTCATTGCAGCAAGGCAATTAACAAGCTTATACTCCGTGTCACTAGTTGCTTGCAGTACAAGCGAAGGCAACGCCAGGCGAGGAGAGGAATAGCAAACACTAGGAAGGCTGGAAGGGAGGAGAGAAACCCCCCCTCCTCTTTAATGTTCCTAGTACTCTCCCTTTCTCCCATCGCCCTATATTGCTCTCCTCTCCCGTCCCGCCTTCCTAGTGCTTGCCCTTCCTCTCTTCGCCTGGCGTTGCCTTCGCCTGCACTGCACGCAACTAATGACACCGAGTATAGAAACTGTTGAGGGAATTGTAGATGCAACACACGACAAATATTACTAGATTGAAATTGTATGATTCGCAACAAATAATCAGAGCACAGCTCTGTCAAACCCGAAATATGCCAAAGTGGACACCTACCTGAGTCGCCATAGGAAGCCCGAGCAATAATTGGAAGATAACCATTATTAATGCGACCAGTTTTCGTCGGCTAATGAGCTGAGGCCATTCGTCGAGTATGCCCGCAACTAGGGCTTCTGCTGTACAGAACTGTAAAAAGAATAATCTCTCTTTTGAATCGAGGCTGTTTCATTTATGCCTCTAATACTTGGAAACATTGACAAACCTCACTGTTAATTCCCAAGCAGAGCAACATGACGAAGAAAAGTATTGACCACACTGCGGAGGCAGGCATCCGACTGACGACTTCGGGATATACAAGAAACGCTAAACCTGGCCCTGAAAATACAACGCCAAAACTTATAAATTTGTGAACAACAACAACAACAACAAACAACAACAATAACAACAACAACGACGACGACACCGCTTGCATATCGGCTGTTTGAGAGGGAGTTTAAGAATAACGTACGCAATTTTAGCGCACGCTAGCGCTAAATTTAGCGCTTGTATTAGCGCACGCGACGCAAGAGAGTTTTCGGATAGCGTTTCTCCGTCGCAATGTGAAAGCCCGAGCATCTCGCGCTTGCGACGCCTGCGGTTGACTGGCCGTGTCCGTTTGCGTCGCCTCGGCAAGAGAGGTCTCGTGTACTGACCTTCGGATATTGTACCCTCGCCGAGAAATGTTCGCGCGTCGCAAGCATCAAGTTGCCGGTGATCGTTGCCAAACCGAGTACAATGTCGTCCCGTATTGAAAATCGCAGTCGCGAGGATGCCACCGACGTCGCACTCACGACGCCGCCAAAGCAGCCGCCGACATAATCTCTGGAAGCCGCCATTTTTTTAAACTCTGCTCGTCTTGGCTTTAGCCAACTTGTCATCACGAATCCTCCTCGGAGAAGCGCAAAGACTCTTTGCGTACGCACGCTATTTCCGAGAAATAGCGCACGCTAAAATTGCGCACGCAAAGCGCAAAACCTGATTTGCGTTCGTAGCATGCGCAGTGGCGACGACGCTATCCTTTGCGTACGCAAAGCTTTAGCGTGCGCTATTTTAAAACTCCCTAATAACGGGGTCCAATAACGCTATCGCGTTTTGATTGCGCTCTGAGTTAGGGTTCAACTCACCTGATTTGACAACATCGCCAACCGACTTGCCTGCCAAGTGCGCCATGTGACCGAGCACAGAGAAGATCACTGTTCCTGACAGTATGCTCGTCAAGGGGTTAACGAAACACACAATGGCCGAATCTCTGCAGTGAACAGGGCATAGTTTACCCCATGGGAAATGCCGGGTCCTATACCGTTTTTGTAGTAGTCACGAGTGGCATCTTTGTGGAATATGTAAGGCGTTTTACCTGAAGAAATTTTGATGAAACTTGTTGTAGCTACCTAGTGTGACCAACGAGCCAAATCCAACACCAAACGTGTAGAACACCTGGGCTCCCGCCGCAATCCATACCTGCGGGAGTTTCATTGAATAAACACCAAATACAGCTCCAAACTTTCAATATAAAAAAAAAAAATTTTCTCACTTTTTAGTGAGTACGCCCATCTCTTAAAGAATTTCAAGCCAAACATTTCATAAAGTGAGACATTAAAAGACTTGTAGCGCACATAAAACCCAAAAGTTATGATTATCCGAAAGGATAGAGAGGATGTGGCGCTCTTATCAAACTAGGTAACTTCATAAGACGAGGATTACATGTGTCTTTGTTCTATTCCTCTAAACATGCGATAACGCCAGTAAATCGGTTCATTTTGCATTTACTTCATTGTTAGCACAGATAATAATTTCTTTGCATTAAAACCTAGTCTGAATGTCCACTATGTAATTTCAAATTAATTTCAGTGTCGCTTTAAGAGTGGGAAGATAGCTTCCTCTTAAAGCTGTAGGGATGCTTGATGGTTACCAGTGGCGTAGCCAGGAATTTTTTTCGGGGGGGGGGGGGGGGGGCGGAGGTGGCTGGGATGTCCATGACTTGGGGTGCGGAGAGTGGGAGGGGAGTCAAAATTCATGTGTATATTATAGGGTCGGCTGGATTTCTGGGGAGGGGGCGGGCTGGAGCCCCATACATCCCCCCCCGCTGCGCCCCTGATGGTTACAGTCGTCAACCTTACTAACACACTCAGTTGGGAAACTCACTGTTGAAACCTGGGCCGCTGGCGTCCACCGAGACCGAGCTAAATACGATAACAGCGCCACTCTTAATCTTTTTTGTAGCGTGAGCTACACTGGCCGATGTTGAGCAGTTTCGCGTGGCTCCTGGAGAGCCGTGCTGCGCATGCGCGAGGAGCAGTGACGTCACACGGCGCACAGCTGGCACGCCGGAGCCGCCGCCGCCGCGCGCGCCTCGCCGGTCTGAGCATTCCAGAGGAGTGACGTCATAGCCGCGGCAGACGCACTGGCCCCGCCGCGTGCCCAGCTGTGCGCCTCCGTTGCGCAGTAGCCAAGTCTGACGCTCCACCGGAGCTTGATAGCGCCTCTCGTTTTTCTTTACTGTGGTCCCCTTGAGCTTTCTGAAAGCATGTTTTTGCGTAAAAACAAACGGAAAAACCTCTTTTTGTAGGACCTTTTATTGGAGTGTATCAAAAAGACTGGCGCGTGATGTTTTCTAAAATCTTTGGTTTACAAGGTTTTGAGGCGCAATTAATATTGTTTTTATACAACCATGTCTCATCGGTGATTTCGGGCAGCGCGGCTCGACCTGGGCTAGTTTTAATTTCGCAAGTAATTCGCGGCGCGTCTGCTTGGGAGGTGGGGGCTGGCGTCCCTGAAACCCCTTTCACCGTATATGTTTCGGCGCCAAAATGGTCTGTTGAAGCCAACATAGAAGTCGCAGCGGACGCTATCGAATGCGATACTCCCGAACCCATACAAGCAGCCGTGCAGTTTCCCGAGTGGCCGCTGCGGGAAAGATGGCGGCGTTGCGATCGCCATTAGCTCGGTTCTCGAGTACAGATCGGTGTCAAACCTTTTCAGAGCAGGCTCTATGGCAGTTTCCCAACCGAGTGGTTCTAGTAACATTGCAGTCGTCGAGTCATTAAATACCTTTGGCTTGAACAGGTGGCTCCAGTCTGGGGTCACATAGAACAGCAGACCGTCCAAAGCTCCATCGAGCGTGACACCCCTCACCATGAGGATGAAGAGGCAGATGTAGGGAAAAATGGCAGTCACCCAGACAATCTGTGCAGGGTCGAAACAGATGCAATTCGTGCTGTTCAGCCGCGTCCGTCTTTACGCGTATACATGTTTGACGAGTTTACAATGAAACGTCCCAAACTCGGATAGTTAAATAATTACTTCAGGAAATAAAATCAGCTGTCATGGTTTTAGCACAGCGAGGCTCCATAATTTCAACCATGGTTCTATAGTTTAAAAAAATCGAGTAGCTATTCATTAAAGCTGCTTTCCAAACCTGAATATTCTGCTCACACACTTATGTTCCAGCAGCGCTTTAATTAACGTAACTGGTAAAAGCATGAAATGTGACCCCAGTATGTCTCGGTGTATGCCAAGGTGTCGCCAGCACGAGGAGAGAACACGCAAACATTGCAACATTACGTATAATTTGCTTCACATTAGGTCAGAGCGCAGCCAGCGCCATGAGCCGATGTTTTTTTTTTTGTTTTTTTTTTATCTTTCTGAGTTTGTGCGAACATTGCGGCTAAACCAACAAAGCGCCGTGAATGAGCCCTGCGTTTTAAATATGTGTGGTCGCGTGTGTGTCTTTTTCCTTTCAACGCGATCGTGTCGCAGTAAAGCCGGCGTCGGTGGCGTGACGGCAAAATCCTGATTGGTCGATAGGGTCATGACGTCACAGCCACATGACCTCGCGCGGAAATTTCAAACGACGCTCACGTGAAACGCGACGTCACGCGTGGAACGAAAGTGATTAAAACATGACTTAACGCGACAAATTTTTTTTTTATGAATTTTGGATGGGATACGGACCCACGACCCTTCGGTTGCGAGCCGGACACCCTACTGATTAGTCCACGCAAGGCACGCTTGCACGGCGATTGAGAAGGCGATGCGCATGGGGCCCTATCTATCGTGTTTTGAATGCGCTCTGACTTACGGTTCAACTAGAGTAACTGTGTATGCTCCTAGTTACTCTAAGTAGAACTAAGTTTAGACGAGACAAGGCCATATTGGTTAACGTCGTCACAGAGTCAAAGTTTGGCGCTGAGTAACTTCGGCGGTTGGTTATGCGGACGCGTTGAATGCGTGTCGGGTTTCTAAGGATCAACGCAAAAATACAATTAGTTTTTTTTTTTCTTTTTTTTTCTGTTGCGTTTGTTAGTGTTCATTTGCGAGTGTTATCACGGTGCGACCGCATTAACGTTGACATACCGGAGAAGTGCTGTGTGTGTTCAAGCAGATCCGTCGCATTTCGCGGACGCGTTTATTGCACACCATTTTTTCTCTTGATTTGCCTGCACAGTTGCGGTCAGTGTTTTGGACCAAAACACTGATCGCAACTGTGCAGGCAAATTTTATTGGTTGCGGCCGTCCGCTTTCGTTTGTTCGGGGTGTTGAGTGTTTTCGCGATGTTACGGCATTAATGTCGGCATACCGTAGAGGTGCTATGTACTTCGTTGTCATGACAACTACAAGTCTAAAATAAAGGTTCATGTTTTTTTTTTTTTTTCAAGACGAAGAGTTACTGAAGACATTTATACGTGCTGTGTCACAAGAAAACTTTGTTTTTTTTCCAGAATGTTCAAAAGGCACAAATTCACCATTTTTTCGAAATTTCGTTTTGCAGGATGCTTAAGAAATAACATAACCCTCCGATAAGGATACTACGCTCACGTGTTTTCACACGTACTGGCAAGTAACGAGAGCTTTCAACTTCTCACAGCCACGCAGCTTTTGCAAAATCCCTCCTCTTGATTTCTCACTGCCAGTGGGCTGCTAAAGAATGGCGTTTAAAATTAACATCGAGTGTAGCGAGTGCTCCAAGTGCTCACGCGTACGTAGTCCTTTTGGCAGAATCACAGTTGCTAATGTTTCTGCTGTATAGTTCGTTTCTAACTCTTCTCTGAGGAATGTGACCAACTGGTCCGCGTACATTTGTGCTAAACCTAAAATTGTCTTATATTTCATTCTATTTTAGCTGCCGATTAATAAAGAGTTAATAATTTTCCGCTCATCTATAACAGTGATTTCTAATGTTTTTTTTTTTTTTTTAAATAGCATGATTAGTTGATATCTCTTAAACCTTGTAGTTCTTTTAGCCACGCGCTCGTAGTCTATAATTTCACAGAACTTACTTTTCCACTTTGGTGGAGGCCCCTACAGATGATGAAATAGACGAAGGCCCATGCCACACATAGGTAGAGTGTGAGTTCTAGCTTCAGGCTCCCCATTTCGTGCAGTCCTGACGAAATACCAAGCACATGGTTTCTGCAACATTACAACAAAAAAGGATTTGCAAGTTGTTTGACAGGCTCAACGTAGAAAGTATGTAACTTGTCTTGTTATCTTTCTTTCTTTTCCACTCAGTTCCGCTGCCTTAACTATTGCTACAGCGTGGGTGCCATGTAGGTTTTAAGCCAAGAAGTTTTCGACATGTAATCTTAATGTTATGGCTAACAGTCTCTGCTCGACGGACCCTCCTAGTGTCCTGACAGTTCACAGTCATTAAACTTCAAAACTGTTATTGTATATTTTATTCAGGGTTGTAATCATACATGCATCAGCGTAACGTAGCAGTGGGTAAAGTATTCAAAAGTATTTTTCCATTGACTGTTTTTTTTTGTGGCCACGATCATTTTCTTGCTTTGTGCAAGTTTCAATAAGATACGTGCAAATAAAGTCTAACTGGTTCGCACATAGTCTTACAAATTTATGTTTACATTAAAATATTCCATGGGGAGCCATTTACCTGTTACTCTGCATTTACTTATCTTTGTTTTTCAGCTTCATATTTTCACCACCGGTCCGCTATTTTTGCTTATAAATGGTTGACAACAGCTCCATTCATCACAAAATTCATTGCCACCTGACTCTCATGATAAGATTTCCCTTATTTGTGACTCTGGCCAACTCGTACCCGAAGCGAGCTGCCCGACAGTCCTCAATACTTTTTTTACAGACGTAAAGACGTACAAACGGAATATTACCTAAGTAATATTCCGTTTGTACCAGAGCTAGACTGCCGTTTTATGGAACCTATTTCAATATCGCCTGCTGCAGGAATTATAAAACACATTAATAACCTTAAAATCTCAACATCCGCGGGCACTGACAAGAGCTTGCCGATGTAACCTCCGGGGTGCCGCAAGGTACTGTCCTGGCCCTCTTCTATTTCTAATATACTCGTACATTAATAATGATCTTCCGTAGTTATTGACATCCTGTGTTCGTCTTTTTGCTGACGATTGTGTACTGTACAGAAAAATCAACAACCCTGACGACCACTTACATCTTCAAAGTGATATTGATCGAGTAGTTAACTGGTGCCACAAATGGCAAATGACCCTTAAAACAGCGAAATGTACACATGTCTCTTTCACCCGTAAACGCGCAAACTCTCGACGATTCGCTCATCATCGCTGTTTCTGCTCTCGGTGTTGAACTAACATCTGTCTTTCTTGTGTTTTCCACGTTGACACGATTACGGCTAAAGCATCCCGTAACTTCGGTTGCTCTAAACGCAATCTGAAATCTGCGCTCTCTCACCTCCGCAAATTATCCTATGAAACCTATCTTCGCCCGAAATCAGAGTACGCCTCCGATATTTGGGGGGCTCACCAAACCTACCTCATCAATCAAATCGAATCCATTCAAAACCGAGCCGCCCGCTTCATCTCTTCATCTTATTCGCGTTTCGACAGCGTGTCACCTATGCTTAATTCACCGATTATGCCACAGCCCCGGTGGGACTTGGTTCTTGCATCTGGAACTCCCGATCAAAGAATCACGTAATTTAAACACTAATAGTTTTAAACGCATCTTTAGAGAATCATTATTTATTTTATTTATTTATTTATTTATTTATTTACTTATTTATTATTTATTTATTATTTATTTTACAATACTGCAGGCCAGTTCTCTGGCCCAAGCAGGAGGGGCAAAAAATGCAACATGTGGGTGCACATGAAAAAATGACAAAAACAATAATACAAAAGAAGACAAGACCACTGCTGCGGAATGCATTATTGAATTAAGTATCGTTCTAATTCCTGAATGAAATTGGCTGACTGAATAATGGTTTCTGGTAGCAAGTTCCAGTCCGAAATCGTGCGCGGAAAAAAACTGTGTTAAAGGCATTTGTTTTTGCGAAGATAGGCTGTAGCGCGTGATCCCTAGTGTGTCGTGTTTTTCTTGAAGTTAGTTGATTGAGATATGGGAGTGTATTTAGGCTTACTCTGGATGTCAGGATGTTGTAAAGAAATAGAATACCATTATCATTCAACAGTTCTTCCCTGCGCTACGTGCCATCAAGTTTCGGAATGATCTTCCCGAGGCCGTTGTTTCAGTTTCCGATCCAAAACTTTTTTCATTCAGAGTTAACCACATATATTTTAGCTAATTAAAAATTTGTAACGATCTTCTTTCATTGTGAACTGGGCACTGTAGCTATATTTCGCATTACTCGAGTTGTTAACGAATGTGTGTATTATTATTTTTTTTAGTGATTGTGTGCGTTCCAGCTGTGCAAATAATTGATTTATTTTGTTGCGCGCAGTTGTGTATTATTGTTTGCATGGAATATGCGTGTTCACTGCCGTTCCTTACCTATGTAATTGAGACTGTATAGTCCCCCCTCATGTAATGCCGACAGGCATTCTAGGTACTTTGAATAAATAAATAAAAAAATAAGGGCATAGCGGGGAGGGGAGAAAAACTGAGCAAGACGCATGACTGGTCCTCAAACCCATCACAGGCTAACAACAGAGGGGAAAACATACGCGATCATCTACATATTACTTGGCAATTTCCACGCAAACAAAATTCAATAACCAACGCAATAATAACATCAAAAAATTATTTTTAGAACAAATTAATCGCGAAACCAACGTGTGTTAGCTGATGCTATATTCGCAATTAAATGCATGAAAGTGTTTAGTATTGTAAACAACGCACTTTTAATCTATTTTTCTTATTTATTTGCATTATAGCAGCCAGCGATGCAGCCTGAAGTATTTCGTACAGAAACTGAAACACCAGAATCGTACAATGATACATAAGAGGGGTGCAGGGGCGTAGCAGAGAATTATTATTATTTCATTGTTCTTAGGAAAGGGAAAAGGGGGGGGGGGGCTGAGGTGTCTGGGATGTTCATGACTTGGGGTGCAAAGGGGAGGGGGGAAAAACTGCATGTGCATAATATAGTGTACGCTGGATTTCTGGAGGGGAGAAAGTGAAGCTAAACCCCCCCCCCCCCTCCCCCCCCCCCCCCCCCCCCTTGCCCGGGCTGCGCCACTTAAATGCCATAATTTGTATCTGGTGTTTTTCACTATCTTGGAGTTAAAAGTAATTTGTTGTACATATTATACTCTTTTTCTGAGTCCATGCTAGGAATAATAATAAAAAAAGATACTCTTTTTTATTCCGGTTCAGCGTAAAAATAGGACTATATGTCTTCCATACTCCCAGCGTGTCAAGAAGGGATTGATCCGTGTAAGGATCGCAGGGTACGTTAAAAACAATTCTAACGTTTTTTTTCTGCAATAAAAATATTATTGGCAAGTTGACTTCTGTTGTGTAATGAACCAAAGGAAAGTACTCCTATATGAGATAAAAACAATAATGCGTTATTCGAGAGATAACGCTTGATGAAAAATTGCACGATGTCCATATTCCAAACCAATGATGCAAGTCAGTTTAGAAATGATGTAGTCTGTGTTGTCGGGCTATATTTATGTGCTTCGAATTTCGAAGATAGTCAAGATCCCTACATCTGGAGCTAAAAGTAGTAGCTCTAGTGTTGCTCTTACTTATTATGAGATTTCTTGAACTAGCCTAAGTTTCTGACGAGAGGTAGACTTACTCCCAGAACTCGACGACAGGACTGACGGAGCGATTGTGTGGAGCAAGCTCGGTGCTGTTGTACTCCCAGCAGTTGTCGGTGTTCCAGTGGTTGCCGCAGTGCTTCCAAGGGAGCACCTCGGTGAACGAGGAGAAGAGGTAGAACAGGATCCACGCCACAATCACCATGTAGTAGATATTGCAGAGAATGACTATCGTCATTGATGCTATGCCAATGCCTGGGAGAAAGAAGAGCACACTTGAGTTGTGAATCAAAGTACACTGATTAGGAGTCATACTGCTGCACCGGCTAAATTGTTCATTTAGAGTTAAGCCAGGGGATGCTATTTCAAGGCAGATCTAATTCCCTGCTGTATGCACGTCCGTATAACAAATGTGATTTTTTTGACTTTGGGACATTATTTGAGACACGACTTTTGGTTGGTAACGTAAGCAACCGGAATGTTGACTTTCACTGAAGTAAAGAATAACTCTCAGGCTCCTTTGATAAGTAGCTCCCAAGTTACATAAAAGTAACGCGCCATGACATGAGAGATACGTAGCTCTCAATACTTGTTTGTAAATATCTGTAGCCATTTGCGACTTCGTTTGTTTTATTAGGTTAGCCACTATGGAAAACCTTTCCCCAATGAGAAACTTAGTAGACGGCTGACTGTTTTATGAAGACATTCTTCCAGGTATAGGAAAGATTTTCTGGGGGTCGCAAAATACCTAAAGACGCATTCTTATGGAAAGTGCTTGATTACGATGTCTAGACAGCATCTAATTAATTTATTGTAAAATAATAATAATAATAATAATAATAATGTTTATTTGCACATTTTCTAGGGTCCAATCGGTAGTCGCCCTCAGCACTCACTTTCTCGGCACTCACTGAGAAGAAACAGTCAAACAGAAACTAGGGGCATGTAAGAGTAAACGAGTTTTCAAAGACTGGGAGTCACATCATTTCACTCTCCACAACGACGCGTTTGTGCCTTTTTTTTTCTTCTAAATAAACGAAGTTTAGGTGTTTTTGTGATTACAAAATTACCATTCATTATTTCCACTCGTATTTTTTATTAATAATTATGTGAGTCATTCGGGATCCTTTTGACTTCTGTACCGTCATCCTATGTTACAAAAAAAAAAAAAGAAAAAAAAAGCGGGAGCTGCATTAAGCAACTTATTCTCTGCCGGCGGTCTTTGGGCGAAAACAAAAACCCAAATTTGAGTTGCCAATTTACTTTCTTGAGCGTTGGGGTCTTTTAGTTTGTGCTTCTGCAAAAATCTAGGAATTCCTCAGGGCATGATTAAATGCTCTTTGAGAAGGCTTAAGCGCTAATTACGCCTGAAACGTAAATAGTAACTGTTCTCCAAAGCTTGGAAAGTCTATTGCAAGACACTGGCATCGTCTACGACTGTAAAACAGCAGTCGCAACATGAACAGCAAGCAAGACGAATGAAGCACATGTTTACCTTTGAACATAGGAAGTATCTTCCAGATGCCGTTGCCACCTAGGCTCAAGTACTGCCCTATGGCCACCTCCAGATAGAACATGGGAATAGCAGTTGTGACCAGACAGATGAAATATGGAACGAGAAAAGCACCTGGAGAAATGAAGTGACCATATCAGCTGGCGACGACATGAAACATGCACAAGCTAAGAGGGACGCTTTATGGCGATGTCCTTGTTATGCTTATCAGCAGTAAAGCGCTTCTCCTCTGCAAGTTTATAGCTTGTCAGAATGAAATATAGGAAAGAGAAAGAGAGACAGAACAAAATTGCCGGAAGCTGACCTGCAAGATCTTGTTAAGCAAGGTTGAAAATATTTGCCTGTCGTCAAGAGGGTCAAGGAGTTTCTGTTGTACAAATTTTGAAGAGACAAGGTAACTCCCAACGGGCACACGAGCGACACTGGGAGACTTTAGAAAGAGTCATTGATTTTACTTACCTACAGATATGAGGAGAGCTGGGAGGTCCACCTGGCCTTTCCTATTTTTAATTGCAGGTTAGCCTTTCACTAATTTATTTTTGTAAAGCTTAGTCTTATTACACGTAATATTGCTAAATACATGAACATTGTCGACCATGCTGTCACGGTGTCATGATTTTACTGGCTCGACTGACCAAAGTAGTTCACCTGAATTGTTCTACAATGGTAACAGTTGGGGATTTTATATGCCCTATTACGTACTAAATCGTGCGAGTCAATGTGCACTTTGAGAAGCAGTGATATTGGCTGCTAACACACATTTTTCTGATATTTTAAATTAGTTTTACACTAGCCTTATTTTATGATGGACAGAGGAATCGAGGGATATAAACCCTCTTTTAATATTGAGCCTCCAACACACAACATAATGCTATAAATATATGTGTCATTCGATTCTTTTTTTTTTTTTTTGGAACTGCAAGGCTTTAAAAGTAAGAATACACTGCCACATACTTTCATCTTTTTATTTTTTCTTAAAAGTTAGATGAATTCTTTTGTTACCGATTGTTTTTTGTGAGATAATCCAATATACTGGCGTATCTTATATTGTTTTGTCACCGTGGTATGTGTTTCTTCTCTTTGCTCAGGCAGGTTCCACGTGCTTTTTTCGCTCGTTGTTTCAGGCTTCCAAGGCGTGGCCGCCGAAAAAAGAAGCATCGCAAGCAACCAGTTCGGGCCGTACCTCCTCCATTTTCGTAGCAGAGGTAGGGAAACCGCCAGACGTTCCCAAGGCCCACGGCATAGCTGATGCAGCCGAATACGAAGTCCGCCTTTCCCGCCCACTTGCCCCTTTCCCGAGGTCCTGCCAGGTCTTGCTGGCTTCCTGGGCCGCTGGCGATACACGAAGACTCCTCTATGTCGTCCACCTGGGAACCGTGTTTGTGCAGAGTGCGAAGTGTGCAATAAAAACAAAGTAATAAGCTTTGCTATTTACTGGGATCCGCCTGTTGTACGCTGTGATTGGCTGTCTTCGTGTTCTGCAAAACAAACTAAAATAATTTTTTTGTGTGTGTGAAAGAGAAAAATACAATAATCATTCAAAATACGTATACAACCGTCACCTTCTCCTTTCTTGTCTACTGCATCACTTCTCGGCTTCGAGCAAACACGACCCACTGTTCGTTTATTTCGTCTCATACACATATAATATTGTCGATGCTGTACGTGATATTTACCCGACTTTTGTTTGTTTCTTATAAAAAGAGCACGAAAAGTTCGGGGCTTCAATACTTTCGATGGGAAAATATGCTATGATCGGTAACGCGGCAGTGTTCTAAATATTAGAGAGAATGTGGCCTTTCAGTAAAACAAGTGTCACCCACAGACAAGAGAACCATATGCGACTATTGCATGATAGTCCCTTGGGTATTCTCCTTTCAGTGAGCATGCTTTTTTTAGTGTTCATGTCACTGGGACGTCATTATGAGTTTCGAAGAGTCGTTGACTAGAAGTCGGGAATTTCTCTAATTATTGCCTTCTTGTCAATTGCCTAAATGATAAAATCGGTTGCTTAAATTACTATAGGAAGTAAGTCTTCTACATTATAACGACCGCTCTGCTCGTCCTCACTGAACACGATCGATGATTTAAAACGTAATTATATCAACGAATAAAATCCCCCCCCCCCCCCCCCCCCCCCCCCCACCAAAGCTCAGCGAATACAAGATTTCTAACAATAACATTCACTAAAATAAGTAAAATCACGAACTGCCCGAACCAGGTTCGTCTTTTTCTGTCACGTGCGACGTTGATGTGGGTTGGTTCCAGTTCGTGTTTATCCGGGGACAGACTCCAACCCACCTAAGCAGGCATTCCAACTAAAATTCATTTTACGTGACACCGAGGGATGAAACATATCCCGGAGCAGTGCGATTTTAATTTGTTTACATTTTTTTTTCTGGGTTTTTAGTGTGAGCATACACATTTACCAGTTTCCACGAATTTGATCTCCTACCTATACACCTTACAAGTGTTTATGAAGAACACCTGATCGTCTACTTGCGTAAGGAGAATTGTGGGTGCTTGCTGTAAGTAGTAGTACACTCTCAAAGAACTCTGAAACGTCCGCTTTCCCGCAAAGCATATGGCAGAGGCAATCGCTGCAACCTACGAGGGATGTTCGGCGATTAACGAGGCTGAAAAGATGTTTAAGCCTAAGAAACGGTCCGCGCTGTTGCTCTGATCATGACGTTTCAGCATGCTCAGTGCCACAACGCGGAGTTTTTTGTTGTTGTTGTTTAGCTGTAAATATGCTATAAGCCTCATCATTCGTCAAGCTCTCTTTCAAAAGATTGCAGCAGTTGGCTCTTCAACATGATTTGCAGGAAAGCGGACGGTCCAGACTTCTTAGAGTGGAGGGCGTCAAGCAACGATGGCGTGCCGAGAGCACTGTCACTTCAACGAGCAGGCAGCGCTGTAGATTTGCGGAACATAATGTCTATTCTTGCCCAGAATTTCTGACGAAACTCGCTGTTTCGGGGTTAAATCATATATGTTATCGGTGTCCTAATCCATGCCGCCATCTTTTTCTTAATCACCATATTTGTTACACGCGCTTCGGGAAAAAGTACATGCATGGACCTTAGTAAACACTCGGCGAGCGTTTCCTAAGGCCCTCTCACCTTCTCATCGCTCCGCAAGCTTGTGAAACTGCAGCATTATTCGATTAGACCGCCTAAGAATTAATTGCGAAAAAGGAAGCGTGGACATCTAAAGCCAGGCTCTGCGCTATTTCAGCTGGCAGTGATTATATGCATGCAACGTACAATAGTGTTTCTTGCTTCTCTTCGGGTTACAAACTGATTACATGGATGCTGTTTGGTTGGGGGTGTCCGTCAACGTCTTGTGACCCTTTGGTGGCACATGTCTTCGTGTATAAAAGGAAAACAACAACAGCAACAACAACAACAACAAACAGTGCAGCACTTATAAACAAGAAGCGAAACTGTGATTAAACAAAATCATTAGCGCTGCGCAATGAGGCATTTGCGACTTATTTACGGCGGCGGCCTAAACTGCCATTTGTAGTGCGATTGACCCTTTTCAACATCTCATCGAGCAACATTGGCGGTCGCCATTTCTTGGGCGCGATGCGTGTGTTTGGGTCCAAGTCCGGTCCGAATGCTTACGCAGTGCTCGCTCCCGGTACGAGCCGAGCCGAGTTCACGCCGAGTGTTGACTCAAGCCTCGTGTCCAATAGATGCTCGGGGTACGTGACCAAACAATGGCGGACTCGGGTAATTGGCGGAGTCGGGTGATTGGCGAGGGAGAGGAGGAGATGAGAGGGGCGTCAGAACGCCGAGCTCTGGTTCGAATGACTATACTTCGTCTCACCCTACGATGGACTAAAGGCGGAAGCTACGAACCGCCAAATCCAATCACGAGCCACTTAGACATTGCGTGGTATTTCGCTTCAATGCACGTATCGGTGCCCGCGTCTCGGATCACTGATGGGAACGGGCGGACAGTGGCTCGGATCAAGCAATGAGTGACTCAACGATTTTACATTGCAAAGAAAGCCACGGCGTACTGGCTCTTTGCAGTGTCGAGACTATAAAAATGACGCAGCGTTTTTGGATACGGAGCACTGTTCGTCCAAAGCTAACCAATGCTACGTGTGTCATAGTTTAGCTTGGAACGTGATTGGACCTGGCGGCCCGTGACTTTGGCCTTTAGTTCATCCTGCGATTGAACCAAAGCCTTTATAGTGAGTAGACCTAAAGCTGCCTTTGCCTCCACTGCGCTCGTCGAACGCGTTAGAACCCGGAACGCAGGCGCCCGGCGCTTGGCTTTCGCATTTCGGCGTTCTGATGTCCAGACGTTCTCGTTTCCTCCTCCCCCTCATTTTCTACTTGCATTGCCAGTAAATTACACCTGCATTCCCGCGGAGGAGTATAAACCTCGAAATTATCGTTCCCATGGTCCGAAAATACTGAAAAGACAGTGCTGTGCTCACTCCCTCGCAAATGGGGACTTCCTGAGCTGCCGTGTATGAAGACGCGTCTTTGCTCTTGAACGAAGCGCGGCGACTGAAGAAGGACAGCATGATTTCGTGAGGCTTCGACGACCTCCTGTCCATGTCCGAATGATGCTGGGAGGAGCCTGGGAAAGGGAGAACAAAGAAAACCTATCAGCGGTAGGGTAACACATGGTCTACGATTTCCTGTGGCTCCTGATTTTGAAGTCACGCTTCCGGTTGTGATTAGCTAAGTTGATTAGCTAAAAAGTGACCAGCGAAAGCGTCTACAGCGCTGACAATGGCCTCGGCGTGAGTGCGCGGCTCTGGAAAGTGCATTTCTATGCGCGAGTTTTGGTACAAACAAAAGTATTCGGCAGAATGGCGCTCACGCGCTTGGGCCTTTCAATGCATTGAATACGTTTGTGAGATAGAGTATAGTAAGAAATACTATCGAAATTGTGCCTCAATTGGGCAGGAGATCGAACTATAGGGGGAGCTTTATCGAGCTTGTTGTTCCCACAGCCCAGTGTTTACTAACATAGCATAACAATTAGAAATTGAACCTCGCCATGCACGGTCTGGACACGAGCGCTTCACTCTTAGGTTGCACGAGGAGCGGCCATTCGAATCGTCACCATCGATATCGCTGGTCAAAAACAAACAAGAAAATTCGGTTTGTTGTCCCCACAGCTGAAGCGAACCGCCAGAGGCGTAACTGTTCGATCTCGTCCCCAATAGCGTGTAGCAGCGGGTTTCGTGCCAACTGAACATCAGCTTCGCAAGGTAATCTTGCGCCGCACTAATTCGTTTGCTAACTTGGCAGTCGGAAGGAATTGTGTACAGAAAGCTCAATATTAAATCTGTCCTTGCTTGCAGTTGCCAAATCTCGAATCAGTAGATGCCACTGATGTTACACCTCTAGTCTAGATAGAACTGGTCCTGTTTTACCGTAAGTTTACGATATACTTGAACCTTCAAGCATACCTAACAATCAATTACTTAATTTTTTATTCAAGTGCCAAGGAAAAAATCTTGCGGTCTCAGTACGGGTGCACTCAGTCAACAAAAAATTATAACACCAGAAATAAACACACACACATTAAAAGTAACATACGCGTCATACATAAAGGCCTGACGGTGACACCGCCATGACCAGTTTGTAGGTAGAGGGGAAATAAGGAAGCCAGAGTATAGAACTCGGCTCTGAATAACATGAACTAGTGCAGGAAACAGCAGAATATGTTTAGGTGGGGACCTTCGATGTTTTGATGAACTCCGGTGCATTACTGTAAATACGGTATACCAAGTGCCTAAAAATGAGGAATTATAAGCGTGTCCAATTCTCGACACGAGATCATAAGATTAGTTAGACTTGAAATGTAGAATGGAGTATTTTTCCTCCAAGTTCTTAGGGGAAGTCCGATATGTACTTTAGACACGAATCCAGTGCAGCCAGTGACGCCATGGATGAGTTTGTATAGAAATGGAATATCAGCACATTCTCTCCTATGCCGCAGGGTAGGCAGCGTCAAGCTATGGATTGAACTGGGACGTCTAGGTCATCGACTGTGCTAGACGCATTTCCCGGTAAGTAGCGATGTCCCTGTATAGAAAAAAAAAAAGAACACACTTTAAGGGATACTGACAGGGTATTTATGCTCGCCAAGGTTTTTAGTTTTACATGACATGCGACAGCCCAAATACCCAGAACAGACTTTGCGGCTAGAAATTCGTTTGCTTTCCGTCCGAAAACCACGGGTCGAGAACTGGCCGGTTTGAGTCGCGCTCACTCTCTTCTCCGTGGTCACGTGCCGTTTTCTACGGTGTAGACACAACCGCCAAAGATAATCAAAGTCGTGGGTCATCGTAGGCACACGCTCACTACTACTAGAAATGGCCAAAAAATGTGATACCCAATTTTTGTTGCCTCTAAAAAATTGCAAACTCGTTGATTAAAAGAAAAAATTGCACAGTCACGTAATTATTGGCATCTTTCTCCTTCTCTGTGTTTCTTGTTCCTCCCCAGTCCAGTTTAGGTTTCGGTTTCGAGCATTTACAATTTTTTTACTTTATTTACGGATCTAGAGGGGGTGGTACGACAGGGGCGGCCGCCTCCCCCCCCCCCCCCCCCCCCCCCCAAAACTAAGTCGACTCCCCCCCTCCCCCCTTCTCGGAGGGCAATTTGACATGGGTAGACTCCTCCAAATTAAAACCGATTACCGGCCTGCCAGGTGGTTGAAGGCTCGGTACTCAATGAGGAGGGTTAAAAATAAGTACGTAGGTCGCACCCTAGCAGGCACACTTGTACTCTGAGCTTAGAGAACCACTCCGTTGAATGGGAGAACAGTGTTATAGACGATCTGGAAGCCAATTCGGCTTCCAGATCGTCCGTAGCAAATAGTAGCTATTAACCTCTTCTCTCTTGAATACAAGAATTAACTCATTGCCACTATTGTTTTTCTCGATGCCTTAAAGTAGCCCTCCTCAACATCCAACAACCAGAAGCGATCATTATGAAAGCAAAGTTTATCTCTGGCATACATGGCTTACCTGAAACGGACGTAACGGATAATGGCTACCAACTTCGATTGGAATTCGTATTTATTCAGCAAGGAACTGGGCTTTCGAGATATCACATCAAGTACCTAATAGCGCCAAAATACCGGCGCAGGAGCCGCTGCCGCGAAGATGGCTTAAATGGAATTGAAAAATTCTGCTGACCCCTAAAGAACACTCATGAGTCCTGGAATAGCCTACGTGCTACACAATTAAAAAAAAAACAAAAAAAAACAAGAGCTCAGATCAGTAGAACTTATGTTTAGCAGAACGCGAGGGGCCTAGACGCTGCACAATTACTTCACCCGAATGCAAAATATGTGGGTATCAAACTAAGGCCCAGATTCGGAACGACGAGGTCTCCTGGGGTGGTTTACTGGATACTGAGCCTCAATGCCTCCAGGTAGAGCCACACGTCGAATAAGCTAATCGCGCAGGAAATCATTACATTGGTAACACCACCCTCCCCCCCCCCTAAATATAAAATAATATATATATATATATACGTATATATATATGTTCATCATCCCACTTTTGTGGAGGGCGTTAAGCCTGATTCAAGACAGACCTTATTTATCACGCAAGAATTCATAAACATAGCTGATAAAACCCTTCTACAACAAAAAGCGCACTTCACTGTAATTTATTTATTTATTTATTTTAATACTCTTAGGACCCAGGGGGCATTATGGAGGGGAGTGGACAGGAACAACAGCAAAACAAGGACGCACAAAAAAAGCAAAGGCCAACTATGCATTTCTACGGCAAAAAAAAAAAAAAAAATCAGTTTATTATGTATTTGCAAAAATGGTTAACTGAAATGATTAACTAATTCCGCTCTAAATAAATCAATGGATGGTATGTTTACTAAAGATGCGGGAAGGTGGTTCCAATCAGAGGACGTTCGAAAAATGAAGGAGTCAATGTATGCTGAAGTTTTGCAGTGAGGTGATGATCGACGCGCGTAAAAATAAAATATGGGCTGAGGAATAGCCTGTCCTTCAGTGAAGCGTTAGAATGGTAAATTTTGTAAAACAGGCATAAGCTAGATATTTGTCGACGAAGTGAAAGAAGAGGCAAAGATAGAGTTGTTTTCATTGATGAGACACTAGCCGTGCGATGGTAGTTGCAGAAAATGAAACGTACTGCACGATTTTCCGTGGCTTCGATATTATTCACGAGCGTTGTTTGACGGGATCCCAGATTGCTGCGGCATACTTCAGCTTTGAGCGAACTAGAGCTTTATATAAAAGTAATTTTAGAAAACATAAGTGCTGAAGAGAAGTTGCTCTTTAGATACCCAAGCATAGAATTAGTATTGGCGATAATGTGATCAGTATGAGCTTCCCATGACATGTTAGAAGTAATAGTTACATCGATACTTATAAGAATTCACAAACCGCAAAGGAGTGCTAGAAATCGAGTATGACGATGGGGACCTATTACCACGAGACACTTTCATAGCTTTACATTTGTTACCATAAGATACATTCGCCAGATTTTACATCAGTCGGATACCACGCATAGGTCACCTTGAAGAAGTGCTTTATCAGATTCATTAGTAATTTCACGGTAGATTGCGCAGTCGTCGGCGAATAAACTAATGGATGATGATACACAGGTAGGTAGGTCATTAATACAAATAAGAGATGAAAGGGGCCCTGAAACGGACCCTTGAGCCTCGAGGAACACCAAAAGCGACGGGACCGAGACAGGAATTAGCTTCATTGATTGTAACAAATTGAGAATGGTTGGTTTGGAAACATTTAATCATGAAAGAACATTCGGGTATGTCTTAAGTTTACTAAGTATAAAAATTAAAAGTTTGTGAGAAACTTTGTCGAACGTCTTGCAAAAGTCAAGGAAGACGCAGTCAACCTGGGATGCATGGTCAAGAAGGGAATATAGATCATTAGTGAAAGTTCGACGTTGAGTTTCACAGGACAGTGATTTGCGGAAGCAAAGTTGTGAAGGAGAAGAAAAACAAGAATTAGAATATAAGAAATTCACCAAATAAGAGTAAATGATGTGCTCAAAAAGTTTACAAGCCGGGCTGGTTAAGGAAATGAGTCGATAGTTAAGAGGAGTTAAGAGGACTGTTTGTCACGTTTTTTGTAAAGCAGAACCACCTTCCCTATTTTCCAGTCACTTGGCGAGACACAAAAACTAAGAGATTGTTCAAAAATTTTAGAAAGATAAACGGAGATGTCAATTTTAGTATGCTTTAAAAATTTAGGGGTAATACTGTCAATGCCACACGAGGAAGATATTTTCAACTTGTCAATAAGTTTACCAGTTACGTCATAATCAATTACAAGCAGATCCACGGGGAAAAATCATAATCTGGATACACAGGAAAACATGAGCCAACGTCACTAGAAAATGCCTCAACAAATATATTATTTGATACAAAGGCACACTGGCCTCTCGGAATATCGACACCATGAACGCCAGCAAGCGTAATATCAGCCCTCTTTGATTCGTTTACAACACTTCAAAATTGTTTAGTACTATTGGATAGCATAGAAGGTAGGGTCACATTAAAAAAGAGTTCGCTTGGCTTCGTTTATGGCTGCCTTATAAGCATTTGCGGCTTTTTTGTAAACTTCCTAGTGCTCATCAAAACTAGACAATTTTGCAGCGCGGAAAAGACGTGTTTTCTTGTTAGAAAGACGTTTAAGTTTGACGTTAAATCAAGGTGAGGATATGTTAGAAACAATGGACCTGCATGGAATGAACGATATAATTAAAGGGTTTATCTTCTATTTAAACAAATTCCAGTTATCATAAACGGAACGTTCTGAAGAAGCAAGTAGGTACTCATCAAGGAAGCCCGCTAACTCATTATTTAAATGCTTCAAAGTTTGCGTTACTGTAGTCTAGGAATTGTTTTGTGGCTTTATTGATAGCACATACTGTAGTATACAAGTTGAACTGCAAAATGGAATGGTCACTAACACCTGGTAAATATGTGATCGAGGAAGCGAGATTAGGGTTAGTGATAAGTATAAGATCTAACACATGAGCAGTTGTACCGGAAATCCGGGTTAATTCAGGAACAACTTCTAAGAAAGAAAAATCTGCACACAAATTGAGGAAATCATGGTAATGGGATGAGCTGCAAGAAGTAGTAGGAAATTCTACCGACCAGTCAATAAAAGTAAGGTTAATATCACCGAGTAAAACACAGGCGCCAGACGAAACCTAGAACAGATGGCGTTCAAAGCATCGTGCAAGTCGGGAATAAAATTTGCAGGGGCCTTGGGGGGAACGATGGCAGGCGCACAGAATATTTTTATAAACACATTGTAGGCGCACGCAAACAAGTTCCAGTGGGGGAGCAATATTCACGTGACAACATTCAAAACGTTTATTTACGACAATCAGAACCCCACCCCCTCGCTTATTACTCGGTGGCAATGATAAAACTTCTATCATTAAGAACAGCCAAAAACTTTACTATCACTATCACTTGATAACCATATTTCTGTCAAAATTACAATGTCACTTGATGATGAGTCTATGAGTGAAGACAAGTTTTCGCGGTTATAAAAAACACTTCTTACATTTGCAAAAAAAAAAAAAAAAAACTGAAAGGGAATTTGGAAAAGTAGAAAGTCTACGCACTTGTTTATCTCTTTCTGTCTTTATTTTTGATTTGGCAGATTTAGGATCATTATTTCGGCCTGGTTAGGTCGAGGCTTCATAAATTTGATTCGTTGCATAATCAAAAAGAAATTGCTTTTTACCGATATACCTTATGCACACGAAGATGGAAGCGATTTCCTTGTGCGCGGGCAAACTCCAGGAATCCAGCTCTTTTTTGAAAAATGAACATTTTGTGGGTTTGAAGGCCGACCCCAGCACTGAATCCTTCTGTTTAAATTGGGAAAACCTTACAACAACAGGTCTGTTTTTAGCTGGATTGAACTTCCCAATGCGGTAAGCCTGGTCGATAGTAGCGGGGTTAGTTTGTAGCCCCAGTTTATCGGAGCACAAATCCGATACCAGTTTTTCGGATTATGTCCAAGTTTCTTTAACCGTATCTTTTAAGCCTAGAAAGATCAGATTTGAACGTTGTGAAGATTTTCTGTGTCATCAGAACGCCGCTTCAGGGATGCTATTTCTGAAAGAGCAGATTCAGGTTTTCCTTCCGGTTTTTCCGCCGAGTTCAGTTTTGATTTAGAAATTACGAGGTCACCCTCAATAATCCCGACGCACGTTGTCAGGGCAGACATCAAGTCATGTGTTCGTGTCTGTTCGTAGTTCAGTTTCTTTCAACTGGCTCATGATGCTTGACTGGCCAGCATGTAATTGAGAAACAATAGACTCAGCGTTTGCAAGTGACTGCCCGTGGTGTAGTCATGAGACCAAGATTGCGTTCCCATCCCCGCTAAGAAGCAACAAGTTGCTAAAACGTGTTTTCAAAGTGATTCTTCCTATCAACTTGTTGTGTTGGTAAAAAGCAAACTTAGTGTCGCCGAAAAAAAAAAAGAAAGAAGCGACGATACATCAGTAACAATTTTGAAGGGAAGCTACTGCTTTTCGGTGATACGGCGCCTTGAAAAGGAACAGTATAAAATGAGAGAACTTGCAACTGCTTTGTGGAATAATAAATAACCAGAAAGTAATGAGATAACTCGGAACTTAAATAACACGTTCCTCTTGAGCGTGTTATGTAAAGTTCCTTTTGAGCGTTTTATGTTCCGAACAAGCGAGTAACATACTTCGTTAACTTTTTACGAAGTAAAACGTAGCTGTACTTAGTTACAGTTCGATTAACCTTCACATAAATGGTGTTGCTACAAAGATCCCACGGATAATGCATTAAAACCTACTCGTGTTGAGTGCAGTTCATATAAGGAAAACATTACTGTCTCAATTTCAAGGTGCACTCAATACGAGTAGATTTTATGAATATCCCGATATTTACACCCCCTCCCCCTCAAAAAATAATTGTTTATAAAGTAAGTTGTCAATAAAGGACAAACATATGCATGCATTTATCCGGTTCGTCCCGGAAAATTTTGTCTTATAATGAGATATCCATATTAACCGGACCCATGTTAACGAGCCATGGCTATCTTTACTTATATCCTAGGCAGATAACAAAGGAAGCAATATTCAGCTGACGATACCTTTCAGCTGGCAATCCAATACTGTGCCTTGGAATCCACCCTTCACGACCGTCGTGGAAAAAGAATTGGATCGCAGGCGAACGGGCGTCTCGGCATTGAACTGACTCCTAGGAGGTCACTCTCTTAGCGGCGGCAGACGCTTCCCTGGAAGAAATCGAAATTTGGTTCGAGGGTGTTACAGACGCCTTGCGCAATAGATTTGCGTCCGAACGAACAAACCTAATAGAGCTTTTCCTGCGCAGCCCTTCTAGCCTTGAGCTTGGTCGGCACGTCACTGAGCATGTATATTCTGCACGGGTGGGCTTTGTTCCAGAGCCTACGGGCGAGCCTCTCCCCCGCGGTGTTTGCGTCACTGTGGGAAAAAAAGAATCGTCGTTTGGGCTCTGGCAACTCGAACATCCTACTCACGCGCGGCGTTAGCCAACTATCGCCGTCGACTTCTCGAGTCTCCGAGCGCAGGCAATGAACCATGACACCGACTCCGGGCCATCGGCGCACACGGATTGAGGCTCCAAAAGAGGGAATCTTCCGAGCGGTGGTTGTACATTAGTGAAATTGTGCAGTTTGTATGGGCCTGTGTTTTCTCGGTTGTCGGGTTTGGTTACCGGTCGAGGAGCCTTGAATTTGACGAAAGTTTATTGCGAAGTAGACGGTAGTGACGTCACAGTTCGGTCACACCGTGAACTTCCCCAAGTCTCCTCGATATTAGTAATATGAGCACTTTCCTCCTGGTGCCCCAAGTCCTATATACATGGAATATAAATTTATTTAGAGGACATTAAACGTCACGTGGCGTTGTGATGCAAAGAAGCGGTGTCACTTGACATGTCGTCGCGGTTTCAAGTCGTGGTGTCACGTCATATCATGACGTCACGTCACGGAGTCAAGTCGCGTGACGTGGTATCACGTTACATTACGACTTGACACTCAATGACAACCAAACCGGTTGTTCCGACATGCTCTGTCATGGGGTATGTACAGACGAATGAACGGACAAATGTCTGGAAGCGATATGATTTTGAGCCGAGACGGGGCAGAAGGAATACATTTTTCTGCAGTTGAAGAGAAAGAACAGGGACAGACGCTGTAGAGGGTTTTAGGGATGTTGAGCAAGCTGGCGAACCCGAACCCCAATCGAAAACCTGATCGAAACAATTTTTAAGGAACCGGAATAAACTTAAACGAATACTGAACATACGATATTTAACCCGAAGCGGAACAAAGCCACAGTCCCATGTGCCGTTCACCGGTTCATTGGAATCTGGTTCGCAGTAGTGAAATATGGGCTGCACCTGTTTTGGCGGGTGGCGGCCCGAGGTCAGTTTTAACATTCACGGCAAATGCGAGAGCGTCACGTCTTTGCATAAATAAACGGCAGCAAGGTTGAGACAGCTCAATAGTGATAAAACGAATTAATAAATTTCACGTCTATGTGCAGCACGACTTGATGTCGGCAAGTCGACACGGGGGCAAACGCTTCTTGCTGATTAAACCAAAACTGCTAAAAAGCTTTTTTGTTGCTGTTGCTGCAAAACAATACCTGTCAAATAGAAAAAGAAGCGATTATAAACATTTGAATAAAAATATTGACGGGCTGTCAGCGTGTGTGTTCTTCTGTCCCGACTTCTTTCTCTATTAGAAAAATCGGGACAGAAACGAACTTTGCTCTCAATCTTTTTGAATTTTTTCCTTATTTCCTTCGTTCCAGCAGCGAAGCTTTGCTCCGTGTAATTGCTTATTTTTATTTGTAGCACGACTCAATGAATAGTGCAATTTACCGCCATGACACACACACTTGTACGCTTTACCGCAAAAAAAGTGACTGATTAATAATTATTTTATCGGAAAAGGTAATTCACAGTAATTATTTACAGCCGCCCCAAAGCAATTCTAAAACAATTCTGGAAAGTGACCAATTACTTTTCGCGTTACTTTCTTCCAAAGTTTTCATTACGAAAATGTTCCTTTATTGATTTTTTTTTATCACTCGAACCTTCTTGAACATGAGCGATAGTTGCACTCGAACAGTTTGCAGTCATATTTTGACGCTTCCCGGGAAATGTGGCAACCGAGGCGCTGAATCGGTTAAGGCTAGTCCGATGTTGTACAATGCGAATTAACCTTGCATCTCACATCGTGGTTCTTGAGTGCGCCGATGGACGCCGTCTCGGTAGCATGAGTCCTCAATGAATAAAGGCACTTTATCGTCGAGGTCGTCTGTAGAAAGCGCCGAGAGAGGCTAATGACTTCGTAGGCACGGGCGTCTTACGGCGCGAGCGCCTAGTTATGGACACTAAAATTTGAAGCCATTTTAGCCTCAGTTATTTAACAAGTTTTGCTGTGACACGCGCGTGTGCTACTGTATCTAAAAAAGAGGGTTGTCTCCGTTCTACGTCCGACACGCATCTAGGCAGTCTTGAGTAAGTTGTTTTTAAAAAGCGATTGGTTACAGTGAAATATAGTTTCTCACAATTGTAGTTAAGTTAAAGTTACAGTTACTTACAAAGAAAAGTAACGCGTTACCGCGACAATTACTTTCAAAATACTTTCGTTTTTTTTTTTAAATTTAACTATGAATGCATTGATGCCAACACACAATGACAACAACGTGTATTTATTTGGAACTCACACAAAACTCTCATTTCACATTTTGAGATATATATTATTACCGTCGCACGACTTTGTTGAATCAAAGCGTTTGCTGCTTCGATGAAGATGGACTAAATAATAAATGATTTAGTTCATGGTACTCAGCAGCAACTGCTTTTCAAAGTTGTCATCACCTAACTTTCCCCTTTTGTTGCACATCCCTTTCCTTGCTAAAAAGGCGCTCAACGGGTGCACTTAACTGCAAAGCAGTATCGAGGCGTAAAGAAAGTTACACGTTTACGCTTCTCTGTAATGCGAAATTAGAGCATTAGAGCGCAGCTCTTGGGCTATGTTGATTTTGCGACAGACCGCGGTAGAGAATTTGATATATATATATATATATATATATATATATATATATATATGATATTTTTTGTTTTGTTTGAGGGTAGGCTAGGGAGGACGAGGAGGTACGGTGGGAGCCCCATAATGCAGCGCGCGTGGTGCTTGTTTCAACGTGAAACATTTTTGTCCGGATTTCGTGAAGCCGCATCTAGCGAAGCCGTGGCCTATCGTCACAGTTTCCCCGCAAAATTTAGCTGGAAAATTGTCGCCACGTGCGCTCAACACCAATTCAGTTTTCCCGCTAAATTTAGCGGGAGAACTGGCGTCACATAACTTCGTGTCACGCCAACTATGAACAAATTCAGTTTCCCCACCAGATTTAGCGGGAAAATTGACGTCACGTGACCTCAACACCAATTCAGTTTCCCCACCAGATTTAGCGGAAAAACTGACGCCACATGACCTCAACAGCAATTCAATTCCCCGCTAAATTTAGTGGGAAAGCTGAATTGGCGTTGAGGTCATGTGACGTCAGTTTTGCCGCTAAATTTAGCGGGGAAACTGAATGCGTAATGTTGCATTATGGTACATCACAGACCTAAACACCAATTCAGTTTTTTCGCTAAATTTAGCTGGGAATCGAATTGGTGTATAGGTCTGTGACGTCCCATAATTCCACTCGCGCGGTTACGCCGACGGCGACGCCGACGCCGCTATACGCGGAAACGAGCGCCGCAGAGCTGCGCTCTCAGAACTTTCCGAATGGGGGGAAAGTTGTTGAGGCTGGATAGCGCTGTCGAGGTTTCAGCCTTCCGTCGTTTCTGCATGCCTAGCGGTAGTGTCCAGAAATGAAAGTCGAAACTCACCCCGATGTGCTTGCGGAGGTTGGAGAGAGAGGGCCTCCCGGCTGCGTATACTTTTTTTTTTTTTGCAGTGTTTACAGCGAGCAGTGAAGTTATTGCCAGTATATTCGACGAGGTCAAAATGAAGTTCATTGCCGGCCCACGGTAATACTTGCCGTTCGTCACTCATGACAGCCTCTCGTTTGAGCGACAACGGTTAACTACGATCCAACTATTTTCCTTCTTTCTTGCGACGTCTCTCTTCCTTCCTCTTTCTCTTAGGAGCTCTCTTATTGCCCTTGCTCGGCTGACAGGAGAGGGAGATACCGATAAACAGACGGGTTCATTACAATAATAAGGAGGGGAGCAGAAGGCTAAAAGACCATTTGGAACTGAATAAAGTGGAAAAAACCGTAGCATCGAACAAGGAAAAGAAAGGTTTGCAAAGAAAGCTAGCGATGCGACTACTGCGGAACCGACGACCGAGGCTGTCGTTCGGTGTTAAACAGTTCACGTGCTTCCGTAAGGTGGCTCTGTCGCTTGGCTGAAGAGGCGGGGTGTCCGATGAGGTCGGAAAGGGTGAAGGTGGGAGAGAGAGAGCCACGAAGAAAAAAAGTTGAAATAAAGCAAATGCTAAATGCGTTTTTCCGCGCGATGAAAAAGGATGAACAAGTAGAAAAACGTCTGCCCTCTGCATCGGCTCTTCGCTCCGTCGATAAGCGTTTTGAGTTCTTGATATATTTTGTCGTGTCTAATGCGGGGCCGAACCTCCGCACATGGACGAACCCGCCGAGTGTTCACGAAATAGGGTAATTTATTTTTGCTTAAAAGTATATGCATCTTTGCAGATACTTCTTGGTTATTTTTTCAATAAGTATTTGCGTTATTGTTACAGTTACTTCAAAAAACGTAACGAGTTGCAGTTAAAAGTTACAAGAAAAAGTGACGAGTTACGGTATCGCGATACTACCCAGGACTACATCTATAAGCACTCTATATAGAGTGTCTAGAGGGCAACTCCCTATAGGGGAGGCGAAGTTGCTTCGATACAACGTCCCTCCATAGAGGGCGGAGAGTGAGTCATAAATAACATTGGCCACTTTTCGTGATAATATGTTCTCGCCACCAGTGACATTACCTCGTTGTGAAGAATCATCTGTATCAGGTACGTGAATTAAGAAAGACGAGACCGTTTGAAGTAGAAAACAGTGTTATATTAGAAAACAACATGCCAAGATGAAAACACACTAATTAAATTTACACACAAAAAACAACGAATTGTATGACTTTGGGGAAATAGTTA